CTAATAGCAAATATCTAGGGGAAAACTGAAAACATTAATCAAGCATCAGTATATTTTAAGTCAAAAATCCCAAATAGCTTGATAATTCAGTTAAATCTTCAGTTGCCAGACACATCTAAAAATCACATTCGCCTAGCCACTGTTTTTGTGGAAAAGAACTTATATGCAAGTCATCTATAAAATATAAAACAAAGAAGTCCAACTTGAAACTGAATAGTTATATAATTAAACAACTAAATAAGGAATATAATTCAATATAAAACGTGTGTAGGTTACAGCAACATGCCAATTACTCAGCTAACACTAGTCTTGGTTTCTTAACTAAGAGTATAGAAAAGTCAAATTGGACAAGGATACTTCATATGCTCTTAACATTCATATAATGTTGAATGGAGGCGCCAAGACTTAATAAAAGATCTAGGAATCCTTTATACAAACTAAATTACTATAAACTCAAGGGTACTTTTGCCTATAATGTGCACCATGTTTTATCTCTTGGATTTTAAAGTATTCAAGAGATCAGAAACAGATACAACCCTGACACTGACCTTCAAATGCTTGTGGTGTGTATATATAAGCATTTATATATAAACATACACCATCATGTATGTACAAATATACAGATGATCCTCAACTTATGATGGGGCTACATCCCAATAAACCCATCAGTCATAAATAGGAAATATCATAAATAGAAAATATCATAAATGACAATATTTTTCCATTTAAAATGGATCTGGTGGGCTGCAACCCCATCATAAGTCAAGGAACGTACTGAATGTACATTGCTTTCATACCATTGTGCAGTCAGAATATCTTAAGTTGAACCATTGTAAGTCAGGGACCATCTGTGTATATAAACACACTGAGAACCGTCAAACTGTTCACTGAACATAACTAATTCTGTTTACAGAACAAGGACCTAAGTTATATACCACAACAAAGTACACACATCTCAGCATTTGGCTTAGTGCAATGTTTCTCAAACATTTTTCCATTATGATACATAAGATAGATGCCACATCACACGTGTCAAACACTCCTGTGGGTGTAATGGATTTTGATAAAACTTAAAAAATGTCTACAGAGAAATGAATTACTCTGAAACATTGAAATCCTTACCATAGAAATCAGTTCAGCAGTAAAAGTTGTTTACAGTCACCACGCTTTGGTAAGATAAAACTGTTGCTTAGCAGTTTCGTACTTTACCACCTCCCCTTCTGCATCAGCTCCAGAAAATATATTAGAATACAAGTGCATAGAATGCCATGATGCCATTCATTTATAACAATAAATAAATGATAATTTATTTTAAAAACAAAGTATTCACTAACTTTAATATTTTTTGCAGTTAACCAGTAATAAGTTACTGGCAGTATCATTTGCAACTGATCATGATACTTTGGTATGCCCCTAGCCAAGAACAAGGGTGGGAAAACCACAGTCCACAATCCAAACCCAGCCTGCTTCCTGTCTTTGTACAAAATGCAAAGACCATTCTTAGCTTAAAGGCCTATAAGCTTTTTTAAATGGCTTAAAAAAAAAAAAACTAAAGGAGAATATTCGTAACACATGAAAATTATATGAAATTCAAATTTTAGTGTCGATTAAGTTTTATTGGAACCCAGCCATGCTCATGCATGTATTTATTATCTACAGCAGTGCCAAACAGTGGAAACAGATTGAAAAGCCTACAATGTTTACCAACTGGCCCTTTATTGAGAAAGTCTGCCAACCCTGTACGAGAACTAAGAATGATACACAACCTCAGTGCTTACATCTCTTAGGCACAAAGCCCTGAATATAGACAGTAAACTTAGTTACAGAAGTCGTAGAAAATACCATTGGGACAGAAATCCATTCCTGCCTTGTCCTAACTTTCTGATTTCTTATAATGACAGAAGCCAACTTAAGGTAATTAAATATGGCTTCTGCATTTTGTCTGAAATCATATTTATAAATTCACCTTCAAGACTGCAGTGGAACAACAAAAGGGCATTGGGCTCCAACTTAGAAGACCTAGGTTTTAGGCAATTTGCTTTTAAATTATTAAATGAGGATGTGGTGGCTTACCCTGTAATCCCAGCGACTCAGGAGGCAGAGGCAGGAGGATCTCTTGAGGCCAGAAGTTCAATACCAGCCTGGGCAAAACGGTGAGACCCCCCCCCCCCATCTCAATAAAGTAATAAATTATTAAAAATGTACTTAACAGTACATTTTTTTCAATCTTTCCAATCTGTGTATTATTTTTTAAAAACCTATTAAAAACACTAAAATGACTGGTAAAATGAAGACTCGAAATGTTTTTAAGAAGAGTAGAATATAGAGTAAAATGTGCTCCTTTCCCCAAATATAACTATAAAAAGTCCTTTGATTAATTGTAAATTACTAAAGAGGAAAAAAGGCACCTAGCTAATTTGAGTGTAGATAGTAGATTCCATTGAATAAATGTTTTCATGAATGTGCATGAAGGTGCATGAATGTGTAGGAAATCGTATTAGCTCCCTAGGCCTCAGCTGCTCCTTTGTAAAATAAGAGCATTGGATGAAATCATCTCTAAAGTCCTGGCCAGCGCTGGTAATTTATACCAAATGACTGGCCTCAGTTTTTTCATCTGTAAAATTGGATCAATAATACAATCTTCTTCCTATGGTTATTATGAGAATTAAATAAATTAATCCATGTAAAAGTGCTTAGAACAACACTAAGCACATTTAGTTAGCATTATTATTATTCTATTTGGGTGTTTTACAAAAAACAATGGTTGGGCATCACATCTGGGACAAGTAGTATATTACAAAATGGGAATACAAAGAAAATAGAAGTTGGTTCTCTTATATTAGGTAAGAATGAATGAAAGTGAAATCTACAGAGTTTTCAGCATGTCTATGAATTGGTGGTTCTCTGAGATAATGGTCAAATGCTGTTCTGCATCCCTGTTCTGCTAATTATTATTTTATTTTATTTTATTTTATTTTTGAGACAGAGTCTCACTCTCTCACCTAGGCTAAAGTGTAAGAGGCAAAATCATATCTCACTGCAGCCTCGAATTCCTGGGCTCAAGTGATCCTCCTACCTCAACTTCTCAAGTCCCTGGGATTACAAGTGTAAGCCACCATGCCTAGCTTAATTCTTATTTCTGAATGATGATTATTGTTAAAAATGTCAAATAATGTTCATTCCAGGGCAAAACAGCACCGTTACTAAGGATCTTTCTATTTATATTTCAAAAGACAAAGTTCAATGTTAGCTAAAAGAATTGGTTATGGTTTGATCATGGGTGGAAGAATATAAAAATATTAGCCAGTCTGGTAATGTATGTGAAATACAAGCCTTCTGAACACAAAAAATTTATACAGAAGTGTAGTTACATGTTCTTATTCATTCCACAAATGTTTGCTGAATACCTGCTAGGTAGTACTATCTGCTACAGTGATGAGTAACATGAAACGGTCTCTGCCTTAGGGAGACAGCAGCAGGACAAGCCAGCCATTCTAGAAAAGTATGATGAGTATCATGATGAGGAAGCCCAGTGTGCTACAGGAGCATATGGTAGGGACCTAAACCTATATAGTCCAGGGGACTGGAGGAAAAAATATTTATGCTGTGACCTGAAAGATGAGCAGGAGTTCATTAAGCACAAAAGGCAGAGAATGTCTGAACACAGGGAACAAAATGGAAGGTGAGAATAAACAGGACTGAAGAACTGAGCTGGGACATAGCAAGTGAAGTGGCAACAGATGATAGTGGAGGTCATCACAATGGTGTGCATTTTACCTTAATGGAAATGAGAAGTCACTGAAAGTTCTAATCATAAATATGCAAAACTGGTAATCAAAATAGAAGCAATTAGTGAAATAACCAGCTTGATTTGAAATGTATGCAGGAGGAAACACCATTCATTCTTCCCTTCCTGATACTCGCTAAAGTCTCTCTTTTGCTTTAACCTATTTATAGCTTAAATATTATACAATAAGAGAGTGAAATATAAAAATATTTGCTTTCCTTTTTTCTAATATCTTTATTATTCTTTTTTCTTAGCACCATTCAATGAAGCTTTCTTATTTACAACATGAGTGCCCCGCATATTCATAAACAACCTTTATAGCTGAGACAAGGATACACGCAGGTCATGCTTAGCCATGACCAGGGGGCTTAGTGAAGACATGATGCTGGTTGGAGCCAAGGACTTGACTTTAAATCCCACCCAGTTCCATCGCTTACTCGATGCAATTTAATCTCTCCCCATCTGCAATGAGGAGTATTTCTCCTACTGTGCAATGTCACAGAGCATCAAAGTTTTCCTTATTTTGGTTCAGTTCTAAAAGAATTTAGAAGCTCTCCCACAGGTGGAATTTCACCTCTGACATGAATCTCGAGGACGGCATTAGAAATCACAATCTCCAATGTTGTTTAATCACAAAACCCACAAATTTGGAGCCAGCTTTAAAGCAATAGGAGCAAGCTAGAGAAGCCTAGAATGCCACAATGGAAATGCCCCAGCAGCATAACTATAGCCACAGACTTCTCTCCTCTAAACGGGCTGTTAGCACAGACCTTTGGAACAAAGAAACTTGGGAGCTCCTTTGAAAAAAGGAAACACATTACATCAAGGCATTATTATGAATTATGCTGACTGCCACTTATAAGCCAGAACATTTTAAGTGGACATTCCAGGTGAATTCACTTTATGGGTCATTTCCCATTTTCTAATTAAAAAGAAAAAAAAAAACACCTCATTTAAAAAAAATTCTACTCCAGACTAGGCGTGGTAAATTCTACTCCAGGCCAAGGCAAGCGGATTGCTCGAGGTCAAGAGTTCGAAACCAGCCTGAGCAAGAGCGAGACCCGTCTCTACTATAAATAAAAAAAGAAATTAATTGGCCAACTAATATATATAGAAAAAATTAGCAGGGCATGGTGGCGCGTGCCTGTAGTCCCAGCTACTTGGGAGGCTGACGCAGGAAGATTGCTTGAGCCCGGGAGATTGAGGTTGCTGTGAGCTAGGACGCCATGGCACTCACTCTAGCCTGGACAACCAAGTGAGACTCTGTCTCAGAAAAAAAAATTCTACTTCAAATCTCTACAATCTCCAAAAATTGGTTTATTATTAAAATGCCTTAAATTTTTAATAAGATGTTTTATCTGTTATAATACATATTTAGTTATACTTAATGTATGCTGACTCTGACAACAGAATTAGCTGTAGCCACAGATGCATACCTTAGTTTATAAAATACTATATTTAAAGAGTTCAAATTCTAATTGCTAAGAATTCCCATATTTTTAATCATTAACACAATTTTACATCTATCAGAACACTCATAGTTCCACTTCTCACCTTTACAGACAGCAATAAAAAATGTTTTCTCATAGATACTCACTAATTGAGAGTAAATTTCAAGTAAATATGAACCATTTTCATACCATCATAATCTTACCCATTCTTCCCCTGGGCTGTGTAAATATTCAAAAGCACTTATGCTGTATGCACATTTCAAAATTCTTCTGCCCAAAAGGCTGACTGCGAACTTGTGACATTCAGTGAAGTTCTCCCTAGTAATACTCCAAGTATTACTCCAAATACTCTTGTGCTGTAGTACTCAGAGTAAAGACTGTTCAAAGACATGATTTCTATACCTAGCTCTTTCTGTCCCTTGTTATGTGTTATTTGACCAAGTAGCCAAAAACTACAAGACATATGGGTCATAAAAAGGCAGGCTTTCTGTGTCTCAAATCCCATTCAGTAAGATGACAATCATCATTTCCATCAATCCAACTCAGAGATACTGTGAAGTTTAAATAAGAAAACATATTTGAAAGTGCTTAGAAAACTTTTTAGTACTTTCCAAAAAGTATGGGGTCATTATATAACAATCTTCTTTGACTAGAAAAGAAGCTTGTTCTTTCTTCCAAAAAGCTGAAATCATATGAGGTTTTTTTTTAAAAAAAAATAATTGAAGCTAAAATTATACTGGATATCCTTTAAAAATATATTTATACTAAAGATGTTCTGATCCATTTACTCTGTTGGCCTTGCAGGTGTGGTTAAGGGGTTCCCATCAATAAGTAGAAGGTCAGAGCAACAATCAAAAGCAAACAAAATGGAGAGGAGAAGGTTTGATAGGCAGCTGATGGCATAAAAATGTCTTCATACTTGTAAATACTGACAACACGCTCTGAAGCTGGCGGTGAGTCTATATCATGTCGGGTGATAGAGCCTTTAAGAAAGAAATAGAAAAAGAGAGGCAATCGAAAAAAGTACAGATTTAAAATAGAAAAACTACAGAAAAGTCTTTAGTGTTGAATACATAAGCAGTGATTATAAAGATCTGGAATCAGCTATTAGAGTTATCATCAGAATTCTCCATAACTGTACATAGAATGAAGAACACAGAAATAGCTAAATTTATCCAAAAAGACTGATTCTCATTAATCTACACATCCCCTGTGAGAACAAGACCATTGGTCTGGCAACTGGCATCCCAGTTTTAAGACTACTCAGGCAATATTGTAGGAATGCCTTCTTGAAATGTCTCTAAAGTTCCACTTTATTAATACCAAATAGAAAAACTACATTTTGATTTCCAACAGCAGAGACTACTAATTTTTTTCCCTCAAATCTATCTTTTATATATGGAGGCTCAACTCCTGACAACACTACTAAAGTCTCTCTTTCAGATGGAAGCCCTCTTTCATTGTCTGCGGGACATAAAGAGGTAGTCTGCTCAAGCCAGGCCAAAGGGGGTGTGGTATGCTGAGTGTGTTTGTGTGTGTCTGTGTGTCTGTCTGGCAGGGTGGGGTGGAATAGGTACAGAAAGTAGGATGATTGAGATACCAGAAAAGTCTTTGGATGGGAAACTCTTTTTTTGACTGGTTACAAGCAGAAAGAAGTACATGCTGTGTGTAAAAGATGCTTATTAAGCTGGAGCTGATTAGAAGTGCCTGACCTCTTGAACAATCCATATGAAACTTGGGTTAGGGACACTAAGGCAAATGACTTTAGTGCAAAGATCTCCTTAGGAATAGGGCTCAGACTGAAGGTTTTTAATGTACTCTCAGCTAGGGAAGCCCTGCTCAACTTGACATGTCTAGTGCTTGCTCAAGAGTCCATGCTGGCTCCTGTTAACACAAATAAAACTCCTTAGGTTGGCATGGAGACTTTCCTCTCAACAGATTCCACTCACCTCTCCTACCTAACCTCAGCTCATTAGACACTTCATGGGCTGCTAGACTTAATCACGCCCCTCCAGTTTACACCTGCCTTGAGGGAAATCTAATCCCACAACTCCTTCAAGCCTTAGCTCAAAGTTTTCCCTTTTAAGAGACTTTAGAGAACAGATTTGATCATCAATAGAGAGGCGTTAGAAGGGCATTCAGGAAACAAGAAAAGCACAAGCCTGGATATGGTGTAGGAATGTGCCAGTTTTGCTACAAGATAATGAGAACAACAACAGAAATCTTGAGAGAGCTTGCCAGGTGAAGCGAGACCAGATTTGGGGAGAGCTTTGAACTTTAGGCTAGCCTGTCATACATGAAAGAAGATGACCTTCTGGAAATACAGCATTTTCCAATTGCTAAAGCAATTTCAAATACTTGTTTTCATTTAACCCTTATAATAATCTTATGTAGTAGGTATTATTGTTATTATTCCCATTTTAGATACATGGAAATGAAGTTCAGAATTTAGATAACAGTCTAAATATTATACAGCCACCAAGGGGCATAACCAATACTCAAACTCAAATTTTTAGACTCCAAATCCCATCAGTTTAAATGAGTCAATTTCTCTAGGCTGAGATATAATTTATTTTCCAGGCTACTGAAAGTACTTGAAGATTTAACTGGAGAGACATTGTTGGTAGTCTGGGAAATCAGCAAATGGAAAAAGGGTCACCAATCTGGAGGCATACAAGTGTTTTCCCAATTGGCAACAGGCAAAACAAAGTAGATTATATAATCTCCAGACTGATCAAAGGAAACAAATCAAGGGGAAAAAAACAACCTGATCAGATTAGGCAACAAATAGCTGATGAGCACATATTAATAGTAAAGAAAGATGCAATTACCAGGACCCAGCATGCATTCTCAGTACACAGACTGCACACCAAACTCACTTCCATTCTTGGTCAGGCCTTTAGGCAGATCAAACAGAAGAAATACCCAAGACTCGGTGTAACTCCATTTTAGCAGTCTCTGAAAGGTCTCACGATATCCTTGGATCTTTGGGGGTGAAACGCTGAAGAGCCTTGTCACCCAAAAAGAGGTTATCCGTGAACCAACATCACCAGGGAGCTTGTTAGAAATAGACTCTCAGGCCCCACCTCAGACCTACAGACAACTGTCCAGGTAATTCCCATACACACAGACATTTAAGGAGTAATCGGCTGAACTATGGGATAATTTGGTGGTTCTGTGATTACCAGAATAGTCATAAAGTGAACACTAATGAAATCTTTAGTGTCAATCTCTGGAGCAGTCTTGTTCAATATTTTTATATTTACAGCATAAGAGTTAAAAGTATTCACTGACTTTGGAGTCAGACAGATCCAGGATTAAATTTTAGTTCTTCCTGAAATTAGTCATATAGCCTTGAGAAAGTTTCTTAATCTTTCTAAAATAAGGATAATAATACCTGTACCTCTTAAGAACTTGGTGAAGAGTAAATGAGAACACTGTTAGAATTAAATAGAGCCCATACCCCACATATAGCAGACATATGATCTGTTTTATTAAGCACCTAACTCATGATACGCTATCCTGTACTGTCCTAGCTTTGTGTGTGTATAACTTGCCCATTTGTTGGTCCATATATATAATAAGTCCATTAAAACATTCTGAAGGTAGGAGTCACATCTCCTTTTTCTTTAATATTATCCAGAGTGCTTATTGCTCTCTTGTGCACACAGTGTGACTTCAATTAATAATGAACACAAGCACAGTGGTATCTGGCGTTTAATCCAGATGCTAAAATGTAAGCTTACCCTGAATGGCTGGACCCCAAGCAAACAGATAATACCAACTCAAATGCAGATCAACAATTGTTTCATCTCTGGGAACATTCACAGGGCGTTTAAATCTGCAGGTGACACGATTATTCTCAAAAACTCCTTCTTCGTCTCTGGCAGGATTTCTTTGAATCTCCTTTGCCCACTGGCCTACATTATAGAAGTGCTGTATGCGGACCCTGCCATTGTCATCATGAACACAGGCCATGACATCGTCACCACCCTAACATGAAAAATAATGAAGAAGAAAAAAAGTCAACGGTTCATCTTTTGCAAAATTTATCACCAGAAATATACTTTCCATCACCTCTGTAATTTGAAATACCACCCAAAAAAATTATTTTAAATGCTTTTACCAAGTGACCAAAGTTAGCATCACAAAAACTGACATCAAGTGGTTCCTGATATGATGTTTGGAGAAGAATAAATCGCCAACTGTTCGGTATTCCTGCCCCAAACACAAACTAACCAAATTATGAGAAAACAATCAGACAAACTCAGACTGAAGATCATTTTACAAAAAAATTAGCCTGTAATCTTCAAAAGAGTCAATGTCATAAAAGATAAAAAAGAGAAAAGGATAACAAACTATTTCAAAATAAAGAAGACTAAAGGCACATGACAATTAAATGCAAATCTAGTTGTTCCTAGACAGAATTCTGGGTCATAAACCAAAAATTTCTCTAAAGGAAAGGATTTGAACAATTGGGAACATTTGAAAACACACAGTATATTTGATAATACCTTCATATCAATGTTAAATTTCCTGAATTTAATAAGTAAACAGTATAATAAAAGATAATATCTTTGATTTTAGGAGATATCTGCTTAAGTATTTGGGGTTAAAGAGTCATGATTTAAACACCAGAGTTTCCATAAAATAATAATTAAAATATAATAACAATAATTAGTAGTATTAATAGTAGTGGTAGTATCCTGTTTCCCCAAAAATAAGACAAGGTCTTATATTTATTTTTCCTCAAAAAGACACCCTAGGGCTTATTTTCAGGGGATGTGTTATTTTTTTTTAAGTACAGTATAACAATCTACATTTATTCAAATATAGTTAAGTTGTCTTCTTCTGAAACATCATCATAACTCTCCAAACCCCAAATTCCATCCTGAATTTCTTGCGACTCTATTTCCTTTAGAACTATTGGCCCCAATCTCTCATGTCCGGCAATAGAGCTCCCATAGGGCAGATGAGAAGGGCTGCTTGTCTTCTTTACTGCTCCGCGACGAAATTCATGGGTTGTACAGATCTGCTGCATAGCCACGCCCATCCCTAGGTCTTATTTTCGGGGTAGAGCTTATATTGCACAAATCCTTAGAATGGTTAGAAATCCTGCTAGGTCTTATTTTATGGGTAGGTCTTATTTTCGGGGAAACATGGTAGTAGCAGCAGCAGTGGTGGAGAAAATAAAGCATGTGTGGCAAAATGTTATCATTTGTGAAAAAATTCTGGAACTAGAGAGTGGTGATGTTTGCACAACACAGAATGCAATTGCTGTCACCAAATTGTGCACGTTAAAATGGTAAATTTCATGTTATGTGCCTTTCACCATAATAAAAAAGTCATCACTTGGTAAATCTAGATGAAGCATACACACACACACACACATACGAGTTTGTTGTACTATATCCTTCCAGCTTGGCTACAGGTTTAATTTTTTTTTTTCAAAACAAGTTAAAAAAGTTAAAGGTACTCATCAGTCGTATCAAAGGTACCACTCTGTGCCAGATGTTGATAACAGGGAGGCTGCCCAGGTGTAGGTGGGAAATCTCTACATCTTCTGCCCCATTCTGCTATGAACCTGAAACTGCTCTGAAAAGTAAAGTCTTAAAAAAAAAAAAATACTGTACCATTAAAAAAAAGTTAAAGGCTATGAAAAAGGGTTCCATTTTGTTTTCCTATGCAAAATGTTTTGAAAAACATTTAATCTGTGCTTTCTCTTGAATAATAGAAAAAAAAAGAGACCTCTACTTACACAGATAATATCACAGTAGATAATTTCAAAGGCCTTTAGATAGCAAAATATCAAACATAAAATTTGAATTCTCCTCACCTTATTCTACCTCACTCCTCTGAGCCCCCTAATTTTAACAGCCCCATCATGAGTGCAAATGTATTCTAGGACAGAAGTGGTTACTTTCAATGCAGACCCAGCTGCTTCTCCCACTGACCCTACAGCAGGAGATAAATAATGCAGATTCATGTCCATGTGGTCTTACCAATCATACCCATAATTTTACTGCCTGGATTGGGACTTGGTGGAGGCTCATTCTCCTGGTGACCCCTCCAAGAACAAAATTACCAGAGCAGCCACTGCTTAGTCTGCTTCCCTAGTCTTTTCCTGCTATCCACCTGCAATCCATATCCAATCCACTTGCAAATCCTGTCAGTGCTCCTTTCAAAACATATTTGAAATCTGAGCTCTTGTCGCCACTGTCACTACTATAACCCTGATCTGAGCCACCTGCCTCTCTCACCTGGAGAAGCCTCAAAATAGGCTAGGTGAAGAGAAAGGAAAGGGACCGCAGTGCTAATGAGATGACTAGTGGCTTGGAGTCAAGGCGCCTAGTTAGCTTCAGGATGGGGCTGGTCTCCAGAAAGACCAAGGGATGATTGGAGGACTGGGACTTTCAACCCCAACCTCCAAACACAGATGGAGGAAGAAGAGGGAGGGGCTGCTGGTTGAGTAGGTCACCAATGGCCAACAATTTAATCAATCACGCCTACATAATGAAGCTTCCACAAAACCCCAAAAAGATAGGGTTTGGAGGAGCTTCTAGATTGCTAAACACAAAGAGGTGCCTGAAGGTTGGTGCACCCAGAAAGGGCATGAAAGCTCTGCACCCCTTCCCCAATACATTGCTCTCTGTGTCTTTTCCATGTGGCTGTTTATCTGTATCCTTTGTAATAGCCTTTATAATAAATGGGCAAATGTAATAAAGTGTTTATCTGAGTTCTGGGAGCCACTCCAGCAAATTGGCTGCTGAATGCAAGGAGGGGGTTATGAGAACCCCAATTTATAGCCAGTTGGTCAGAAGCACAGGTCACAATCCAGGGCTTGTGACTGATGTCTGAAATGGGGGCTGTCTTGTGGAGCTGAGCCCTTAACCTGTGGGATCTAATGCTATGTACACATAGATAATGTCAGAAGTGAGTTGAATTAGAACATACTCAGCTAGTGTCCACTGGAGAGCTGCTTGGGTTGTGGGGAAAACCAACATCTGGTCACATAAGTGTTCAGTGTTGAGGATGTAAGTAGAGAGAAAAAAGTTTCTTTTCCTTTACAAAGGCTCTCATACTTCTGCCTCTGGCATGAGAAGAATATACTTTGCTAGCTGCTTGTTCTGGGATGACTAGCAAAAACACAGAGAAAACTTGAATCCAACCCATGGACTAAAGTCAAGCCCAGGTGAGCCCCATCTAAAATGAGCTGAACCCCAGTCAATTCACATAAGAAGAAATAAATGCTTACTGTTATAAGCCATGGAATTTTGGAGGCTCTTCTTGCAGCATTACTGTAGAAATAGCTGATGAATACAGGTGCCCCAAGACACCTTCTATTCTGATAACTAACCCTTCCATTTAAACTAGCTTGATCATTTTTTAACTTGCAATCAGAGAGCCGTAATGAATACAATCATTATACTGCTTTAATCAATTTATTTGCTTCTAAAATCTAATGTAACAAAGCAAACTAAAGAGAAAAATCAGCTTTTATCATGATTTGCACCTTACCATTTTCTTGTCTGAAGAGAATCCAACTGCTACCCAGCCATCTGTGTCTGCACTCAGCTCAAATTCCACATCAGCCCCTATCATGCGATAGCTAAGAAAGTAGTCACAGGTCTCTGCATTACAGCCTGGTTTGCCATATCTAAAGGATATATCAAAAGAGACATTATTACTTATTTAAAATACATTAGGAGAGCATCTACTACAAATCAGGATACTAAGCAATATTATTAAATAAATTAGAACTTTGCCACCTGGGATCTCAAAAACATAGCTTCACTTAGTCAGGAAGAGCCTTGGAGAGGACTGGATCCACTTTACCTACATATATGAACTGAGGTCCTCAGATAGCAAGGGGCTTGCCTAAGGTGGCATAGTGAAGTCAGTGTCTGCAACAGGACTTGAACCTGGGTCTCCAAACTCCCAGCATTCTCTACATTATAGTAGAGTTTCTTAAATGTTAGTTATTACTGAATTATTTCTAAATCCCTTTTAGAGGAAAAAGATTCTCTGAATTAATAATTTCAATTGTTTTTGTTCATTAAATATATATTAACTCTTTTTTACTTACAAATTTTCATATAATCAAACTAACACAAATTTGCAAATTAAACTAAAAAACCAAGAACACTAGCCGGGCATCGTGGCGAATGCCTGTAGTCCCAGCTACTTGGGAGGCTGAGGCAGGAGGATTGCTTGAGCCCAGGAGTTTGAGGTTGCTGTGAGCTAGGCTGACGCCACGGCACTCACTCTAGCCTGGGCAACAAAGCGAGACTCTGTCTCAAAAAAAAAAAAAAAAAAAAGATACCATTAGATTAAGTTTGCTTGTTTCTTAAGGTTATATAAATATAACTCTATAGTATGTGAAAAAAAAAAAAAAAAAAAAAAAAAAAACCAAGAACACTGAAATTTGCAGCATTCATGCACTTGATGATGTGCTTCTACCAAAAGTAAATTTCTGCTTCTGTGCATGTGGTATGTGTGACTGTACCATGCAGGGTCTTTTAAGTTGAGCCTGGTCTTATCACTGACTATAACATGATGGCTCAACTCTCATCCACTTCTATCTGTTTGAACTGCTGCAAACCCCTCATTTATACAATACACCAAAGGAATACCCTCATCTTGTATTCACTGAGCATGAATGAATGCATTATTTATTTATAAAAATTTGTCTTTATTCTACTTAATTACTTGGTGCTAATACAATTACAAATTCAGACACTAAAATATATGGCAGTATAAGGTGGTTATCCAGATAGTGAGATTATGTATACATTTGTAATAAAAACACAAATTTAAATTTTCTTACAGAGGACTTATGGATCCTTTAAGAACCAGCAAGCCCTGGTTTGAGGAACACTGTATTACAGCATTTTCAGGATGATACTGAATAGAAAATTATAGCAGTGGGTGGGACATCTATGCTCAGAAGGAAGGTATCTGAAGGAACAGGACCCAAGGTGCTAAGTTTTGACCGAGGAGGAAGGCAGGAATATGCTCTTATGCTGGCACACAGACCCTGAGCAGCCAGGAAGAGATGTAAGACCAAGGCAACACAGAACTGGGGTGAAAAGCACGAAAAGGAGCAAAGTTAAAAGAAAAGTGAATGGGACAGAAAACAAGTCCCTCTGAAGCCAGCAGGGTACTGAAATTCCTTCTCTTCTCAAAACTTCCCCCAATCACCAGAATTATGCATTGCTGACCATCATCCTCAATAATAGCATTACTGTATTTTTGTTTATTCCTTAGAAATGGCCTTGTAAGCCAAAGAAAGCTCGAAGCCCTTGTAGTCCATTTTCCCCCCCTTAGACCTTGAATACTGAAAAATAACAACAAAATCAGAACCTTCAAAACCTTTACTTGGGGGCAATTTCTTTTAGGAAGTAGAGTTCAAAGAGAAGGAGGCTTTCATAACAAGCAGAGATATCTAGATAGGAGGCCCACTGTCCACACTACTGTTTTTGAGCCCAGCCCATCATGTCTCGATAGAATACTAATAATCATGTAGGGATTCACTATGCCTGAGATAACAGGCTAGTGACAATAATCAATGCTTAATGACTAGTTAGTATCCTATAGATATCCATAAGCCATGACTATTTATTTGGAAAGGAATTGGGTACTAGACATGCCTATCATTGCCTAAGCACTGACATGTTCTGTGTCACGTGAATCTTGTTCATACACCCGATTGATAAGGAAGTGATATCTAGGCCAATGGCTGTACAGCCAGAAATGAAGAACCAGAGAACAGCCTAGTACATACCCTGCTGAGGCTGTGAAGGGGATACAGGCCCCTGATTAGAAGGAACTGCATGCAATTTAAATATTACCATGAAAGTAAATCAGTTTCTCATCCTTCAAGTTATCCAACTTGCAGTTCTACCAACCTAAAGCATCCCTTAGTTTTTCCACAGTCATCCACTTTGATTTTGGCAAATGGATCCACAGGAGGAGCAGTAGGGAAAGGGTAACCTAGGCAGCGAGAATAAAGAATGGTTAGAAAGTCCAGGAACAACTTTACCAGTGAGGATGTTTTTTTATGCGTTGACTATTTTCTATCACACATATTTAGAAATGACTCACAAAAGGACTTTAAGCCTAATCATCCCCTTCGTGAGGGAAGGCATAGAGCACATATCTTTGGACCCAACCTTACACTGAAAATAGGTGTGCTGTTTTCTCATTTTGCAGGTAACGATGAACCTGAGGCCCTGAGAGGGGGCATAATTCATATAACCATTGGCTTATCACTGTCTCCTGGGAGTTTGAGAACCACAGTTTTAATACAATACAAAAGAGAAAAAAACATTAACAATGATATATTTATATAACATTCATGTACTTGGTAGTTGGGTTTTCCTATTTATATATATGATAATAGGATTTTTTCCATTCCATTTTTAACTTTCATTTTGCATCAAGCTATATGTGACATTTTCATATATCACAAAATTCTTTTAAACACAGTTTCTGGCAGTTGTCTATCTTTCTGTAAGATAACTTACCACCATAATGCATCAAACCATACATTGAAGATAAGGCTGCATATGCTTCCAGTTTGTAACAGCAATCTTTTTCTCCTAAGCTGTTTACTCCATGTACACAGGAACCCATGTGTGACTCATCTTGTATTCTCTGTCCAGCACAGTGCATGGCACTGGACACTCAATAAGTGATTGTCAAACGAATAAATAAAATCACCCATGGCATTAGGAAAGATGCATAAATAGAAAGTTTTTAAAATTATTCTATTTTATTGGTTTCTCTTTTCTCATAAATAATGAAGTCTTTTCTTGGATTTGTAAGGCTTTTAAAATAATGTTTTGGTTAATTTATTCCATTAGACTTATTATACTTTTTTTAAAAAGTCAGTAGTTCACACTTCCCTGGCACAAATCCGTGCACTCTGAATAGTCCATTTCTACTACACTAGACCTTAATCACATGACAAAATACAGCCCTAACTTTTCACCATCTCCAAGTAATTGGGTCCAATGCATTACTTTTTCTAGTTTTATGCTTTATTTTATTCTATGTCCTACATATGCTTCAGTACTAGACTGAGTCCTGTCTTGGATGAAGTTTTTTGTTTGTTTTTCTCTTAATAGTTATTGAGCAACTGCTCAATGCTACAAACTACTGTACATTAAGCATCATTATATATCTTCTTCCTTTTATTACTTGCCACAATACTGAGGCCATTTTTCTCAGAATACTTATACTGAAATGCAATGACTATTTACTTACATGTTTTTTAAGATTCTATAGGTGACTGACAATCTCTTCTAATGTTGCTTCTGACTCAGGTTTCTCATTTTCCTCCATTTTTCAAACATATTATCATTACTACTTCCTAGCATCTAGAATAATATATTGGCATACAGCAGATTTCCAGCTCAATAAATGCCAGTTATTACTATTAATATTACTATTGGATTATCACTATTAAATTTTGTAAACTGGATTGATAACTAATAACCATTGTGTAAGACTGTCTCTTTAAGAAGAATGGGTTACTAAACTCCATATAAAAGTAAATTTTGGGCTGGGCAGAATGGCTCACACTTGTAATCCTAGCACTCTGGGAGGCCCAGGTAGGAGGATTGCTTGCGGCCATGAGTTCAAGACCAGCCTGAGCAAGAGCAAGACCCTGTCTTCACAAAAAATAGAAAAATTAGCTGGGCATGGTGGCACATGCCTGCAGTCCCAGCTACTCAGGAGGCTGAGGCAGGAGGATTGCTTGAGCCCAGGAGTTTGAGGTTGTAGTGAGCTATAATGACACCACTGCACTCTAGCCCAGGCAACAAAACAAGACTGTGACTCAAAGAAAGTAAATTTTGGAAGAAGTTCATTTATAAATGTTTTGAACTAGTTTATTTATGTTGGCAAATGGCTTCTCAGGGCTTTTCTAGCACTAATTTTCTATTATCTTATGTGCTTCTAAAACTTGGAATGAGGACTGTGTTCTGTCAAATGCACTTGGGCATGCATTTAATAACATATTTTTCTCTTGTATTGCAAGCTGTTTAAAAATAAATAATTTGGCCTCTGTCCCCTAGTTCCTGGTATAGACTCTAAGTCCTTGTAATTTCCCAAGTAGTAGGAGTGTCTTTGTTCTTCATGAGCCTATTGAGTCAATGAGTTTATGATAAGAGATGACACAGGATAGAGGCTGGTCACTGGAAAGACCATGGGATTAGAAAGTTGGGGCTTTGCACTAGCCCCACCTCCAGAGAAGGAAGTGGGGCTGAAGATTGAATTCATTCATGTAGCCAATGATTAAATCAATCCTGCCTATATAATGAAACCCCAGTAAAAACTCTGGACACTGAAGCCTAATGGAGCTTCCCGGCTGAACATGTTGATGTGCTGGGAGGGAGATGTGCTGATTCCATGAGAAGAGGGCAGGGAACTCTGCCTTTGGGAGCCTCCCAGACCTCACCCTATGTGTCTTTTCATTGGCTGTTCCTAAGTTGTACAATTTATAATAAAACTATAATGGTAAGTATACCACTTTCCTGAGTTCTGTGAGACATTCTAGTGAATTATAGAACTGAGGGGGGTTGTAGGAAGACCCTGCATTTATGGCCAGTTAGTATGAAGTGTGGGCAGTCTTATTGTGAACCAGGTCCTTTAACTGTGGAGTCCGTGCTAACTCTAGGTTGTTAATGCCAGAATTGAATCACAGGACACCAGTGGGGGGTTAATATTAGAATTTAAGCAGAGCAGAATTACATTTTTTCCCCAAAATTAAATGATCTCTCACTATTTGGCATAAAATGAGTTTGGACCATGTGCCAATATTTAACGTCTTATCTCTCAGCTATGACCCAACCTTCTATAGGCTAAGTACTCTGCAAATCACTTCTCCTTCACCTGCTGCTTAGGCTCTGCCAACAGGCAGCATTAGATGGAGGCAGGAGGAGGAAATTAGGACTGTTCCTTCCTGTTTGATTGCTTTTCCAATAAGCAAGTCTCCAGCAACTCCACTTCATCCTTACAGGGGCACAGTTGGTTTAAGTTTCCAGCTTTTCGCCAGGCTCCCAAGACCAGCCTCATCATGCAGCCCAAGGGTACCAGCAGTAGCTGGGCAGAGCCCCATTCTCAAGGATGGGTTGCAGCTCTGGGAGGCCCCTTGTCTGAGCCCTTCTCATAACCCAAGGCCCTTATTCTTTGCAACTGCAGCCCCAGGGGTGGTAGCTAATTCCTGGAACTCCCTTTTTGCCTCTCCAGTCCCCCAACTCCTAATTAGTTGGCTCCTTGGGCTGGTTAACTGTTTAAAAAGCTAGTATGATTTCTGTGTTTCTGACTGGACCTTGATTGATACAGACTACATGGATTAATCTTTGAATACTGATATAATGTATCTGCCCAAACTGTAGCTTATTAGCAGTTAATCATTCTGAAGGCTAGAGAATAATGATACCAATAAGATCTATGTTTTATGTGCACTATACAATTATATCAGGAAATTATTTTGATTGTAGAAATTTAAGTAACCCAGGTGCACAGAATTAGATTGATATTTCTTGGTTTATGGAACACTCATTATCAGTCTCTGAAAAACTGATCTTATATTTTCCCCTGATCTATCCCTAACTCGATTTCCCACCTTAGATACTAGGTCTAGTGTATTTTGTATATATGCTTCTGCCAAGGATGGAGGTTTTAACAAATATGAATACTCTGACACACACATTGTAGAAGAGTAATATTTTACTGTGATAAATTGAAAAGACACATTAGCAATAATGGACACCAGACAACATGGGGTTGAAGGTAAGGTTCTGATGTTGGTCAGTTCCATGGATCGTGGAATTCTGCCTGCCCAGAGCAAGGTCCTACCAGGCTGCAAAAAGCCTTTTCTATCCCCAATACCACCATCCCAAAACTCTTCCACGGTTATCTTATAATTACCAAAACTGCCTTCCACAGAACCTGGATCTAAAGTTCAGGTTCCAGGTACAATTCTCATTCTGCCAACAGCGCCACCTTGTCACACTGTCCACAGCTGCACTGCACCGGCCAATCCATGGCCATGCACAGGTCTGGAAATGCCCGGACACAGCAGACCAGCAAGGGCCACCTACGTCGACTTACCATTCACCATCCATGTGTTTATTTTTACATAGGTGTGCTTTCGAAAAATATATCATCTGCATAAATGATACTGTGCAGTAAATCTCATTCTATTTATTATTTTCCTTTTAGGAAGTTGATCCACATATGTAAGACTGAATATTATTCGGCCACTAAAAAAACTAAGTACTGATATCTGCTTCAACATGGATGAACTGCAAAATCATTTTGTTTAGAAGAGTTTAACAGAAGACCACACATTACATAATTCCATTTACATGAAATATCCAGAGTAGACAAATACTGAGACAGAACAATCAGTGGTTGCCTAGAGCTGGGGTTGAGGGTGGGGAGGGGAAGAAGAGGGGACTGCAGGGTGATGGCTAATGGGGATAGGGTTTTTTTTTTTTGGTGTGATGAAAACATTCTAAAATTGATTGTGGTGACAGTTACACAACCCTGTGAATATACTAAAAACCATTGCATTGTACACTTTAAATAGGAAGCAGTGAATTGTATGGTGCTCATGTGAATTATCTCAATAAAGCTCTTGCAAAACAAAAATTGATGTTTTGCCTACCACTCTCTCACTCCACAAAACCCAGTTCTGACTCAAATGTCATGCATCCAATTGATGGAATCAAAGTCATACCCAGAACTCAGGATTCAAGGTAATATTCTACCCTATGCAATAGGTTTTCTTTTCCTGTCCTTTGAAATAGTATGCTTAAGGTTAGCATTAGCGATCACTTGAATATTTGGTGAAACTGAGCCAGGAACATTCTTGGTTGGAAGATTTTTTTAAATTGATTCAATGTCTTTGATGGATACAAAAGTATTCAGGTTTTATAATGCTTTTTTTTTTTTTTTTTTTTTGAGACAGAGTCTTATTT